GCCGGGCCGGGCGTGGCTCAGCGGTTGAGCATTGACCTAGGATCCAGGTGATCGGGATTCGATTCCTGGTCAGGGCACATGCCCAGGTTGCAAGCTCAGTCCCCAGTTGGGGGCACACAGGAGGCAGCCGATCAATGACTCTCTCATCATCAATGTTTCTCTCTCTCTCCCCCTCTCCCTTGCTCTCTCTGAAATCACTAAAAAAGATATATTAAAATAAATTTTTAAAAAAGGAGGCAAGTACATTGAATGCACATGTATTCTTATTCCTGGGGCTATGACCTCACTCTAACAAGCACTGAGCATCGCCATGAATAACCTTGAAGGATCATTGTTACAAAGCAATTCAGCATGTTATTAAGTTGTAGAAATCCTCCATATTTTTTAAAAGCTGCCCTAATGTTATGTTAATAGGAACTTCTGGTTGAGATACAACCAGCAGGGACGGCTGTCTCAGGGACTCTCTGTGATGCTGAAGATGCGGAGAAAGAGTCTGGATACAATTGTTTCCCAAATTTGTGTGAGATTAGAAAAAAAATAACATCTCCAAATCAATATGTGATTGATTTATATTATTAAATTAAATACTGTAAGTAGGGATTTAACACTTTCATTTACATCCTTAAAAGTTTTTCTTTCAAATTGGTATAATAAATCTTTCCATAAATCTCTTTGGAAAAATGGGGGCTTGCCTAGCAGACTTTACATCATGGGGGACACTTTACATTAGGTAACATATGGTGACCAGGGGGCCTGAGCCAAGAAAAGCCTAAGGGTCTCTGGAGAAGGTCTACCCCCCTCATCACCTCCTGGCTTCCAGAACTGGATCAAAAGTAGCTTCAGTGGGACCTAGCTGGTTTGGTTCAGTGGTTAGAGCATCAGCCTATGGAATAAAGGGTCCTGGGTTAGATTTTGGCCAAGGGCACGTACCTCTGGTCAGGGTGGGTGCAGGAGGCAACCAGTTGATATGTCTCTCACATCGATGTTCCTCTCTCTCTCTGTGTCTCTCTCTCTCCCTCCCTCCAACTCTCTCTGAAAAGCAATGGAAAAAAATGTCCTCAGGTGAGGATTAAAAAAATAAATAAAAAAATAAAGTAGCTTCAGTGGTAACTGTGTCCTTGAATATCGTGGTGTCCTTCAAAGGCCATGATTAAGTAGAGAAACTGCTCAATCCTGATTCTGATACAATTTTAAAAAATAATTTCATCTCCTGCCTCAGCCCCTTACCCTCTACTCACACATACACACACATACTTCTCTGATGTCATTGAGGAGTCAGGTTCAGCCGGAATTCAGGTTCTTACGATTCAGGGACAATATTCTTAGCTAGTTTTGCAAGACCGCACACCTGGTTCTAATTCCACCTCTTTCTAGCTGGGTACCACCGAACACACCACCTCCCTCTCTGTTCCCCAATTTCCTCATCTGTGAAATGAGGAGTGCCCTGAAATCTACAACCCAGGACAGATGCCCTGGTCAGGAATCAAAGTTGTGTTCTTGGCCAAGGGCCCCTCTGCTTGGTCTCTTGGCCCCAACCATGACATTGGAGGTGCAGGGAAGTGGGGAGGAATCTAATCCCAACCTCCTGACCTTCCTTTCTTTGGCAGTGGCCTGCAGGAAGGCTCTGGACAGCACCACGGTCGCAGCTCATGAGTCGGAGATCTACTGTAAGGTCTGCTATGGGCGCAAGTACGGCCCCAAGGGGATCGGGTTTGGACAAGGCGCCGGCTGCCTCAGCACAGACACGGGCGAACACCTGGGCCTCCAATTCCAACAGTGAGTTACTGTCCCGCATCTCCCAGCCCCATACAGCCCCAGTTACCAGGACAGTTCATTCTGTTCCCATAGCATAGTTTTCTGGAAGTGGGAGAATGAACTCTACTGTCGACTTGCCAACAACAGGAATCCTCAGTCTGACCAAGTTTTAACAATGTGCCATCTCCCCAAAGGCTCTCTTTAAATTATCTGCCTTTTAAAGGGCAATTACTTTTACACCATGGTGCTTGGTTTGCATGTCAAGAGAAAACCCAGAAAGTACAGATGTCCCATTGTGTGACCTTTGCAAAATGCATGAAGTCTCTCTTTTCCTCCCTTTGAACTTTTCTGTGTAAATCACATGAATATGGCAGGGAAGCCATGGCCATTTGCTGTGTACTTGTCACTAAAAGATTTTTTTCCGTTGAGTTGTAAGATGACTCATGTCCACAGAAGGAATGGTTCTGTGGGGCTGGGCTGAGTGCCTCAGGAGTAAACAATCCATTATAACTGTCCTGTGTCTCTCCCCCGCTGCCTGTTGCCAACACAGTGCTGAGGTCTCCCCCAACATTATCCCAGGAGGAGCTGGGACATCACGCTCTGCCTCCTCTGCCTCCCAGTCTGTTCTGCCCATCTTGATGATCACACTGACTTCCAGCCCAGAACTGAGTAGAGACTGACAGCTACTCACCTGCAGCTGCTGTCTGTCTGGCCAGCTGGTGGCCAGGCTCCGCTCTGGGATGGGACTGGGCAGAGAGGCCCAGCCCAACTGAGGCAGTGTCCCCGGGGGGGAGCCTGCCCCACAGGGCAGTTAGGTCATCTGAAGAGTCACCTGGTCCCTTCCAAAGAGCCCATGGTAGAGCCTGGAAAAGTGCAAGGATGTGTATTAGTAATTTTAATTTTTCTCCTTACTCGGTCCCAAATGGATAGTATGTTTAAAGAAGGTGATACCAACTGCATTCTCTGCCATGCATTACTGACTCACTCCTCTATATTAGGGCTTTTTTATGCAGCACAAAGAGGGACGAAAGTCTGGAGACCTCTGTTTCATCCCAGTTCCACTGCTTATGAGCTGTTTGACCTTGGGCAGTTGCCCCTCCAACCCTCACTTTCCTCCATCTAATCCTGACTACTTTAGAGGTTATGGTGAGACTCAAGAGATAAACAGACAAGAAAACACCACAAGATATGGAAACACAGAGGTTGCTATTGTGCCTCTATCTTGGACATTGCTCACATGGGGACAAGGAATGCCTCAGCTTATCGGACTATGGCTTGTTTAATATCAACTGTTAAGACCCCTTCTTTGCCCTATGTTTTTACAACTCATTTCAGAAAACAGACCAGTGGGCTTCAAGATGGTACAGAAAAACCTAAATAGTTTAACAATAACAACAACACAATAACGACAATGACAATAATGCAGGCTAACACACATGGGACACTTCCTAAGCGCTTTACCATAGAAAGGAAAGGTTTAAATGAATCATAGCTAGCATTTTTCAGCCTTCACTACATGCCAGGCAGTCACTGTTCTAAAGGCTTTGCTCATGCCACCTCATTTAACCCTCTCAACAACTCTGTGAGGAAGGCACCATAATTATCCCCAATTTCCAGATGAGGAGTCTGAGGCACAGAGAAGTTAAGTAACTTGCGCAAGGGCACATAGCAAGTACTGTCTGTCAAGGGAGGCCTATGGGTTTCATTCATTTGTCTATTTCCATCAGATCCCCAAAGCAAGCACGTTCAGCCACCAGCAGCAACCCTTCCAAATTCACTGCGAAGTTCGGAGAGTCAGAGAAATGCCCTCGATGTGGAAAGTCGGTCTATGCTGCTGAGAAGGTGATGGGAGGTGGCAAGGTAAGAACTTCTAAATGAGCCACATGGATCAGCTGGGAGGAATGAGAGAAAGTAGGAACTGTGGGTGGGAGCCAGACCCTTCCTTCTCCTTAGCTTCTAGAGAGACCATTTTAGGAGCCATCCATCCTCACACACTTTCCCAGGCTGTGACTATCACCTTCAGTGCCCTTGGAAACTGGAACTGGTGAATTTGATGCAACAAGCATTAGCCTACTAGCTATAAGGCTCCCAGAAGCCCTGGAGATAAAGATGCACAAGCCTCCCTGCCCTTCAGTGTCCACAATCCTTCCAGAAAGGTGTCAGCCCTGGGAGCCTTCCAGAAACGTGTCACCACTACATAACTCAGTCCACTGCTGGCCCCACCACTGATGGGCAGAGCAAACTCCTTACAGCAGCAAGAAGCGCCCTCACTCAAATGCCCTGGCAATCGGGAAAGTCATCAAATGTCTGAGACAGTAACGCACACTTGCTCTGCGAGCTCCTGTTTCAGGCCTGACACAAAAGGATTTGGGCCTGACGGAAGAAAAACATCCTGCTTACACTAAATGAGGGGCGGGAGGCCACGGAGAGTAGTGACTGACTTCAAATATCAGGGCAGTGTCTTCCACCCATTTGAAGACATATGAGGACTCCTGGGCAGTGCCTAGTAGACACCCAGATGTGCAGAAGGCAGGCGATCTTCTAGATGACCCAAGCTGTGCACTCTTCCTAACAGAAATATAGTTAAAATGAGGTTGAGTTACCTGGATAATTGCCTTACTCACTTTTCTTCTTTAGCTTTATATTCCATGTAAATGTTACCCACTGTCCCAAGTCCAAGTTCCCCTCTCCAGTTTATTGCTTGGTCTTCTAGTCTGTTCTGAAGGGATACATATGGAAATCACATTGATAAGTTTATTTTAGGGGTTCTGAGAATTGCTGGCCAAGTCCATAGCATCTCATTTTCTTCAAACCCCTGGAAAAAATATTCTGGGGCCTGATTAGGTATAGCAATGGTTAAGACAGGGGTACTCCTTCCTATGCGGTGGGTCAGGGGCATGAACCTGGAAGTGGAAAGCAGCCCACTACATTAAATATGTAACCCACCTGCTCTCCTGTGCCCCTCAGCCTTGGCACAAGACCTGCTTTCGCTGCGCCATCTGTGGGAAGAGTCTAGAGTCTACGAACGTCACTGACAAAGATGGGGAGCTCTACTGTAAAGGTGAGTGGTTCCAGAGACTCTCAAGATGTTTTCCTGAGGAGGGTCCTTAGGAGCTGTGTCCATGCCGAGGCTCATGTCAGGGGGAGGCACAGCTGCTCTGCCTGAGCAGGGCTTGGGATCTCAGGCTGGGGATCCTAAGCAGAAGAAATCTTCTGCCTGAGCCAGCTCCGGTCCTCTCCATCGGAGCATGTGGGCGATGATGCTTGGAAATGCTCGGAGGCGCAGGGCAGCTGGGTACCCGGGGGAGGGAGGGGGAGGAGGAAGCAATGTTTTGCTTCTGCTTCTGGAAGAGACCACAGGCCGAGACAGACAGCATCACATTCTCTTCTGAAAGCCCAAAAGCCCTCTGTCCCCTTGAGTGGCAGACAGGCGTGACTAGGGGGATGAGCTCTTTGGCCCCTCTTTAGTTCAAGACATGTCTATCTATCCTCCCTCCTCTCTCCCTCC